GAAAGGGGAAGTGCAATGGGGAGGGAAAAGGAAATAAGGGAAAAGAAAAAATGTGAAAAAATGTAAACAAAGTCTTTGTAAATGGGGAAGGGTGGAGTGGGTGAAGGGGGCGCAGGCGTATGAAGAAAAAAACAAGAACCAAGATATATCATGTAAAGGTACAAGATCCCAATGATAAATGTAACTGTATTGTTTGCTTTAAATGTACCAATAAATTTAATGGAAAAAAATTACTCCTTCCTCTACTTTTGCTCTATGCAAATCTTTAGTGGATGGATGATGCCCATCACACTGGGGAAAGCAATCCACTGCTAAGTCCACCAATTTGAATGCTCACCACACCAACAGCTTCACAGACACACCCAGAAGTAATATTTAATTATGACTAATCAAAATGACACATAAACTTAAGTATTACAGGTACTAATTCATTCATGAAAACCATATCAAAATGTGTATTTGCTGTTAAAGGTGAAGTTAAAGGACAGCATATCACAGTGTTAACTTGTGTTCAGCTTTCCAGATTATTTGAAGTTTGCAGCAGTGAACTGATACCCTGATTACTTTGCTCACCTCTCTCCTTCATTACGAAGTTTGGTGAATAAATGCAGCTGTCCAAGGACTGTGACTATAGTTCAGCACTAGAGAGTATTTACCACCCTATAGCATGCATGAGGTCCTGGTTTAATGCAGCTGCCCTCAGACAGAGGTTGATCTTTTCTAGACTGCTCTCTCAATAAAAATGACCAAGACAAAAAGGTAAAGGTTATACATGCACATGATTGATAGTTTTGAAAATTCAGGATTTTATCCTAACCAATTCCTGAATATGGTTAAAACATATAAAAAATATTTTTCTGTATAAATTTGTATAGTCCTTCCAGATTAAAAAAAAATCCAGATGAGAATAAAAAATGAAAAGAAAAAATGTAAAGCAGGCACTGGGCAAGGCCCTGAGTTGGATCCCCAGTAGCAAAAAATAAGGAAAAATGTAAAGTAATGATATCTAAATAAAACATACTGATTTTATAGCAACAGTAAAAACCCAAAAACCCAGCACCTGGGAGATGCAGATGGAAAAGGGAATTCATGATGTGTTTTTCACAACACAACTACTCTTGAATAGCAAAATGCTATGAGGTCTTGACTTTAAACTGATGTCTAAGTTAATAATCATAGCTAGCAGTTCTGACTGTGAGACAGCAGGGGATAGACCCAGCTCCAACAATGGAAGGACACTTCTAGATGTAGTCCACACTTGTGGGGCAAATAAAATGATGCTGCAGAGAAGCAAAACTAATAGAAACTGACTGCTTTTGAATAATCCATCTATAATGAAAGACTTAACTGAATTGTTTGAGGCCCTAGAGCCCTGAGGCAAGAAAACCCACAGTGGAAAGCCAGACTAGGGCACTATTAACCTGCATTGCCTGACTAATGTATATGCTCACTGAGATGACTTAATTGCAAACTGTTATTTTTTGTGTACCTAGACTATTAAGAGTGCCTTGGAAGGCATGCCAGTTAGCTTCTATTTACTAATCAGAATTACACCGTATTTGATGCCTGAGTCAACTTACAGTTCATATAAAAACTTAAGAAGAAACTCTGGCTAAGATGGACATTTACCATTAATGGGATTTTTTTCACTGAATGAGTCCAAGACCCCTGAAATCAGTACTGCTGGTAGGTTTCATCCTGCAATTTAGGATCTTACTGATAATAATTTTACAATAAGATGCCTTGCACAAGGATGGACTATACAGGAAAGAAGTACTGTAATAGGTATGAAACTGCCTATCTTTAAAAGGACTATTTTCAAGGTTGGCCCTTTGTTGGTATCTAAGAACTCAGAAGATAAAAACTTCTTGCAGTAACATAAAACTTTCCCTAAATTTTATGAGTGACAGAAATGATTTAAATAACCAATGTGGCTTACACTGTTATTAGTTCATATTTTATCATTGAAAATAACTTTAGGAAAGATTTCATACTACAGAGATATATGCATGCCTTTGTGTATAGCAACATAATTTCTAACAGATTCTAGAAACAGCATTTATCTCCATCAAGAGATAAATGTTTTGAAATTTCTGATAAGTACTGCTAAATTTCCCTCTACAAATCTAAAGTGGTTTACACACCAGCCAAAAGTATATAAGAATGCTTGCTTCTCCACATCTCAACAGAGCTGGCTATTAACATACTAAAAACTTGTGTTCCAGTCTATTCTATTTTAATTTGCATTTCCATCCTCACTGGAGGAAGCCTCTGTTGCTACACTGATTGATCATTTTTATTTCTTCCTGGGTGATTTGACAGTTTATACCCTTTGCTCATTCCTGTACTGTCCTATTTATTTTTTTCTCTACAATGAATAGGGTTTCTTTGTATGTTGGTGCTAAACCTGGGCTACATAGTGAGTTCCAGGTCAGTCTCTACTACATAGTGAGACCCTGTCTCAAAAAACCAAAAAAAAAAAAAAAAAAAAAGACTGAAAGTGTTTTTCTCCATCTTTTCATGAACTGGTGACTCTTCTATATAGAAAGTTTAACTTTTTATCAAACTTGACATTCTTCATAACTTTTGTTGTCAGAAATTCAAATCTACTCCTATTTTTTCTCATTTCTAAATCAGACGGGAAAGTCATTTACTTTCTCTTCATCTAAAATATTATGTATATGAGTGCTTTAAAATGCATAATTTCAATGTTCCTTTTTCACTTTTTATCTTTTCCATTAATATTCATTTTTACTAACTGTGGTCAGAGAATGTGACTAGTAGTATCTTCGCTTTTGTCAGTTTACTAGGATATCTTTAGGCTATAATATAATCAACTTTTATAAATATTTCATCAATATATAAAAGGAGTGTACAGTCTCGGTATGTGTGGAACAAAACTCAAGTTTTTCCTTTCTTTTTTTGCTTCTTTCTTTCATTCTTTCCTTCCTATCTTCCTTCTCCCCCCTTCTTTCCTTCCCTCTTTTTGGATTATTTTTCATTTACTATATTATTCAAATCTTTTGTATCCTTATTTTGGTGTCTACAAAATTAAGAAATCTCTACACTGGGGATTTAGCTCAGTGGTTCGGGGACCTGCCTTGCAAGCGCAAGGACCTGAGTTCAATCCCTGGTACCAAAAAAGAAAATTAAGAAGTCTCTCAGTATGTACTCATGAATAAAATTATGCTTTCATTATCCCATTTTCATTCCATACAGTATCCTGGGTATTAATATTCACAACTATTATATCTTAGAACATATTTTTCCCAATTTAATTTATGCTTTGTTTTGTATATAATGTTTTTGTCTTGAGTTCTACTTTCTCTAATATTCCTAGGTGGTGATTGTACTGGTACTACCCTGATGAATCTTTGTCTATTTTTTTCTGCCTTATGTGATTTCTTATTTTAGGTACTTTTCTTAACCAAATAGAGTAATATTCATGTTGCTTTCATTCCAAACTGGAAGTTCTTTAAATAAAGAAACTCAACAAAAAGTTTAAAAAAAAATGTTTAGGAAAGATTTATTTTGGTTTACAGCTTGAAAGGCTTCAGCCTATGACTAGTTGGCTCTGTTGTTTTGCAACAGAAAGGCAGAGCATCCATGGAGAGAAGCATGTGGTTAAAAAAACCTGGTTACCTCATGGCAGCCAGAGAGGAGGGAGAAAGATAGAGAGGGAGAAAGGGAATGGGGGAAGGAAAGAAAGTGAGAGAAGGGCTGTAGTCCCAATAACTTCCTCAAGGGTGGCTCCATTAGGTTCCACCTCCTAAAAGTTCAACCACCTCCCAGTAGTGGCACAGGCTGGAAAAGCCTGCAACATATAGACTTGGGGGACATTTGAGATTCAAACTATAATATGCTGTACAACTCATTTTCCTCTAGAAATCCAGAATTTTACTACTTTCTGGGTAAAGCATGCCTCCATCTCCAGTACCCATAAAAACTTTAGGTACTAAGTATCTAATGAGCATTCCTGAAACACTCCTTGTACATGTTGTCTCAATTCATTACTTAAGAAATTAAATGTCTTATGTGACTACGTTGAAAGAGGACTCTTGGAAGTTTGAGCCAGGTTTCCTGCAGATTTTGTTTATGTACATGTTTTACTCATTAATTTTGTTTTGTATGCTTTCACTGTAATAAGTCTTGGCCTCAACTGTAATTATAGTCTAAGCCCTCTGATTCCTCTTGATTACCAAACCTAGTTTTTATCTTGGAGACTCCAACACAGGAAAAAAAAATAGAACTCCTTAAATCTTTGAACAAAAATTCTCCCAAAGCAACAAGATATAAATTTACCACAGAAGGAAAAAGGATTTTGTACATAGGGCAGAAAAAAACAGAATTCCAACTTCATTTACTTCCTAGTTCTGCCCATTTGTTTAAAAGTACAAGAACAGATGATTCCTTCTCCTGTTTGCTTGGACTAAGGTATTTAAAACAACAGATCTGAGGCAGTGAGTGGAGAACAGCAGCAGGTGTCAAGTCCCAAGCACTGGGAGAATATCCTTTCCAGCCTGTCTTGGAAGCTCTCTGCAAGAGAGGAGGCCTCACCCTACCCTTGGAGCACAGCCACTGGCTTTCCCTAACAGGAGCCCTTGCCTGGAGGAGATACTGCCAGGGGCATGGGACCAAAGGAAGTTTCCCTTTAGACACTGGTATTGGTAAACAGATAAACACACAGGCCTATGCAACATCATAGAGAATCCAGAGACACCACAACACACACATACACACCCTGCTGGGTTCCGGCCAGCAAAGTCGGTTAAGAGAGATGAATGAAGGCCGGGGATTTAGCTCAGTGGTTCTGTCGCCTGCCTTCACCAGAGTTCAATCCCCGATACCAAAAAAAAAGAGAGAGAGAGAGAGAAAGAGAGATGAATGAAGATATGAGAGGTAGAGAATGGCCTCATAAGAAGGACTTCACTGGAATGCAGTAAAGCTCCAAACTGACCAAAATCCCTGGATTTACTGAGAAACAACAAAGACAGGCAAGCAAAGTATGGTGACAGTTTGGCTGAATAATTAGCTTTTATCTCATTGTCCCCTAAAAAGATTTCTTGTTTTCTCCATAAGGCCCATCTCTGCTCAAATTAGCAAAACATCCTGTTTTCAACACATTTCAGCTCCTCAGATTTAGCAGTCTTCCAACCTCCAAGTCAACCAAGCAGACAAGGACCCATTCGTGTGTCACGAGTAACCCCACATCTCCCCCTTCTTTTATTAAGCAGTTGCTTAGTAAGCCATACTTGGAGTTGTTTTGGGCCAGCCAATTGCTTCATTCCAATTTTACACACTAGAAAAACAGAAAAAGAGCAATTAATAACAAGGCAACAATGGCAATAATTCCCCAGTGAGTCGCTGCAATCCAGATTCAGGGATCTTTTATTGTTCTCTGTGTTGAAGGACTTCTTCTGCTCTTTGGGTCATTCTTTTCAAGCTCCCCCACGTCTTCCAGGAACCCAAGTCAATCCCTGGAAGGAGGAAAGGAAGTAGGTCTTCTCTTTCAAGTAGAGGTTCTGAATCTGCAGAGTCAGATAGCCTCCTCTAAAAGCTATGATAAGGTTTCACAAACCATGCTGGTAGCCAAATTGGTCCTTTCTGTAATGACAAGAAAAAACAGGGAACTCCCAAATCCCTGAGTTAACATCTTTCCATAGAACTAGTGGGTGCGGGCCAGGGATTTAGCTCACTGGTTCTGCCGCCTGCCTCACAAGCACAAGGACCTGAGTTCAATCCCCGGTACCAAAAAAAAAAAAAAAAAAAAA